TGGAGAAAGTCTAGTGATGTAAAGAGAGATTTACATGTGGAGAAAGTCTAGTGATGTAAAGAGAGATTTACATGTGGAGAAAGTCTAGTGATGTAAAGAGAGATTTACAAGTGGAGAAAGTCTAGTGATGTAAAGAGAGATTTACAAGTGGAGAAAGTCTAGTGATGTAAAGAAAGATTTACAACTTGAGAAAGTCTAGTGATGTAAAGAGACGAGAGATTTACATCTGGAGAAAGTCTAGTGATGTAAAGAGAGATTTACATGTGGAGAAAGTCTAGTGATGTAAAGAGAGATTTACATCTGGAGAAAGTCTAGTGATGTAAAGAGAGATTTACAAGTGGAGAAAGTCTAGTGATGTAAAGAGAGATTTACAAGTGGAGAAAGTCTAGTGATGTAAAGAAAGATTTACAACGTGAGAAAGTCTAGTGATGTAAAGAGACGAGAGATTTACAAGTGGAGAAAGTCTAGTGGTGTAAAGAGACGAGAGATTTACATCTGGAGAAAGTCTAGTGATGTAAAGAGAGATTTACATGTGGAGAAAGTCTAGTGATGTAAAGAGACGAGAGATGAACAAACGCCAGCAATACGACTCCTCCATGGGGGATTGTCTCGTTTTATCGTGTATGGCTGGAGTGGATAGGATGTCCATGTTTAGTGTGTATGGATAACACATCCATGTTTAGTGTGTATGGATAACACATCCATGTTTAGTGGATAAAACATCCCTATTAAGCGTGTGGGTAAAACCATCCATGTTTAGCGTATATGGATTCAAGCTACATGATCACAAGAAAGGCCTAAGACAGTGGGCAGTTAAACCTGCATTTCGATGCTACTTTTAGCTGCAGAATTTAAATTTTAAAATAGAATTGGGATTTCAGAATTTGGGATTTAAGGATAAAAATCAATTTCCCACTCAGGGTTTCTCTTTTATTACCTCCCCTTTCATCAAACATCCCCGCTTGTTCGCTCCCTTGTTCATTGTTGAATATTTTTTTCCGCTCACAAAAAAAAAAAAAAAAATGTGTAGAGGACACGTCCAAATCGTCATCTCGGAAAGAGCAAGTTATAATATCCCCTGGCAGAGTGGGCGTGTCCGGTGGCCATTTATTGACATGAATACGGACGTTACAGAGTTACTGCGCTTGGACA